CCCCAAAACCCCAAAACCCCAAAACCCCATAGATAGATTAAAACATAAATGGAAGTATATAAAAATTAAAATGGATTAACAGAATTTTATAATCTGCTTTTGTAATTTATAATTTCAAATAGCAATTTAATCCAAAAGCAACAATAATTAGATTTATGCAGTCATAAAGTGAACATCTTTTTCTTTTTGACAAAAGCTTCTCTAATTCTTTTCTTTGCCTCTGGATCAAGCGAGAGAAAACTTAATTAGAAATTGAACTGCCTTCCAAGTAAATCCTCCTTAAATCTCTTTTTCTAAGACATGTCCTTAATTAGGGAATATTTTTCAACAAGGTCTTGATAGCATTTTTGCTCCATTTCCTTTATCCTCTTCTTGATATATTTTTCCTATTGTTCACGCTCTTCAATAACATTAACCTTTTTGCCACCTTTGAGAAGAGATTTGAGTTTGAAATCTTCTATTTACTATAACTCTTTAGAGAAACTATCCTATCTCATTAAAAACTTCATAATCTTTTCTCTTTTCTATCTGATAACTAAAGACTTGAAAGGTACTTAATTATTTTTCTCCCTTAATGGACTCTGATCATTACTATTTTAATCATTGGAAATAGGTTTTTCTGTTTCTAATATATCTTGCTCATCTAATTCTACGTCTTCATTTTCAATAGCATATTCCCCTTTAAACAAATTGGAGTCATGTGATGACTCTTATGAGTTTGGTGATGGATTTCTGTAATTTTTTGGTCTATATCTTTCAACCATATTCAAAAAGATCTCCTCTTCTTTTGGGCTTTCATGGACATCTAATCTATCTACGAAATCCTGCACTGCATCAGAGTCTTCACTTGATTAATATCTTGAAAACTTAAGCCTCTCATCAATCTATCCCCCGTGAATTGATATTTCTAAATAATCCTTTGGCTTTACAGGCTTCTTGGGTTTAGGACTAATTTAGACCATATCCCCTTCTCTATATTTTTACTTTTAGTTTCTCAATCTTTCAGTTGTTATCAATTCCTCATAGTCTTTATCCTTGAAAAGATTAAATCTCTCATGAAACTTAAGTCCGTACTTTTTAGTTATTTCCTTTGGCACTTAATAAAACTTTGGATTCAAAAAATCATCTACAACTTTTTGAGAGTTATTACTCTATCTTCTTGTATCAAAAGTAGAAAGTATCTTATCACGGTCTCGATTTAGAGCTTATGGGCTAAATACTCCTCCTCTTACAAAAGCTTGCCTAGTATTCTCGAGTTTAGGTAATAACTCTTCAGCTGTGAATCTATTCTAAAGAATTATCTTGGAATCCTATTGTGGTAAAATAGAAGGTTATTATAATTCAATACTTTACTCTTTACTTCCTAACTATTTGGATTAACTAAAAAGTCTTCTTGGGAGAGTCAGGGTTTTAAATTTGGATTGATAGTTGCTCTTATTAAATTTAATCATAGATGATGTACTCTAAGTATTAAATTCTTGAAAGTTTAATTTATTTCTTGCCCTCAGATCAAGGAGTTATGTTCCACTTCCAGAGTTCCTAGCTTCAAATGCACCTCTTCCCATTAATATTGGTGCTTTATCATTTGTTTAGAGCTATAAGCTAATCTTGCTTAAATAAGGTGGATTATTAAGTAGAGCATTTGACTTGCTTTTTTGAATGATATACTTATTATTTAGAGGCGATGCAGTTGGTTTCTTCAACTTCATCTATATATTATTCATAATGTTGATTTTATAATTTATCTCGCATTTCTAAATTAAAAACATACTCACAATAAGGGGTTTTGGGGTTTTGGGG